TGGAGCCAGAATTGTTTTAACATTGATTCTGTCTTGCATGAGTTTGTTTTTCTGCTATCACACTTTCAATACTAGTTAAAAGTTTGATACAAAGGGTGGGAAATATGTGGAAATAAAGTTATATCAGATTGACTCTTGTGAGCTTTAAGCCATGTTAGAATGTTTTACCTCATCAAAAACATAAGCAGAGTTGTGTTTTGTTTAATTCACACATGTTCGAGTAACTCTGCATTATTACCGTATTTTCCACACTATTAGGCGCTCTGGATTATAAGGCGCACTGTCATAGGATGGTCTATTTTCGGACTTTTTTCATATATAAACTGCACCAGACTTCAAACAAACCACAACAGTTAGATGGCTCAGTTGGACTTTGTTTGGTGCGTTCACGGTGACTCTGGGCTTTGTTCAATTGTGGCGTGTAGGGAGGGTGCTGTCTGGGACCGCTGGGTTGTTGGCATGTTCACAGTGACTCAGTTGTTCAGTTGTGGCTAGAAGTGGCACATTGCACTTTTTCGGTTCGTTCCTCCCTTCCATTCCTCGTTCGCTTGGAGTAATGAGTGTGGCTGCGGGTGTTTTTCGCTGCGCGGTCGCTGTCTGCTCTGTGCGTGTGCGAGTTGCGGCTTTGTAGTTTATTGAAGTCGTGCTGGGAGACCCGAGTGGATTCGTGTATAAGGCGCTCTGGATTGCGGGGTGCGCAGTCGTTTTTTGATGGGGTTGGAGGCTTAAGAGCGCGTCTCATAACCCGGAAAATATAGTAGTCCCTTTACATCTCCAAAGAACAAAATGCGATATCATGAATAGGGGTGTGCAAAAATATCAAAATATCAATATATCGTATTGTTTAATGTGATGATACAGTATCGATATCGCCAAGAGTATTTTTTGGTTTATTTTACTAAATACATTTTTTACAGTGCTACAGTTTTGTTGCTTGTTTAGTGGAAGGAAACTTGTTTATGCAACACATTTAACATTTTCACAGTTTTGAGGATTAAAATGTTGATGTAAAATGTGTTTCATCTTCACTTTGCACAAGAAGTGGTTAATGTAAGACTTTTAGTATTACAGCAATCATTTAGCCTTAATTTTTTACTGAACCGTTCTGATTCGATTTGAAATATGTCGTATCGAATCGAAAGTGAACTGTATTGACATATGTATTGTATCGTGGCCAGTGTATCAAGGTATGTGTCATATCTGCAACTTCTTAATGATACCCAGCCCTAGTGATGAAGTGGTAGTTTTAAAGTCAGTCACCTTTTACCTTTTAGTTCAGACGGGCAATTCCAGTGTGGAAATCAACAGTGAAGGTATATCAGGTTTAAAAACACAGTAGAGCAGAGAGAACAGAGGTTTGAGAAAAGAACGCAGTCTAAATATGTGGGGTTTGTGTGTTAAACGTATATGAATGAAACAACACACTCCAGGTATGGTATGATTTAATGAGGAAACAACATTATAACATAGTTCAGAATCAAAAGTCATATATATCACTTTCACATTTTGACAAGAATCATGGCACAGTTTAACAAAATCCTATTCTGTATACCTTACCTTCTATTAGCATTAACATCCACTCTCTGACCTTGCAATTTACTGGCTCCATTATAACACATACAGTAATCACTTTCCCCCATAAACAGTAACTTCTTGTAGTGCTGCTTCCAGACTAGATTTTACAGGCGCTGCCAATGTTTGTTTACGAACAAAACCCAAATTTAATCACCTCTGCAAAACTTTCCCCAATGTTCTTTTCCTTTCTTCTAATCATCGGTTATCTGCACCCCATGCAGACCGCCGCCTTCCCACTGCAATACCACCACGCTCCTATTAGCAAACAAATTAGCTTAGGTCAACAAACTTTTTATGGAAATTATTTGGACCTCAAATTCATCTCAGATTTATTCTCCTTTGCATTTGCCGTTCTCCTTTGCAATTGCCAATGTCATGGAACTGCTTTCAAATGTCCTCACAGCGATTGGCCGTACAATAGAGCAGCAGATTCGGGGTAGCTACAGGGAACTTTATCCGTAATTTGTTTAGATGCGATGCCCAGTCCACCCCGCATAGACTGCCTAAGGTTGGGTGCAGTGTGCTAGCCTTTCTAGGTGGGCTTTTTGCTATATTAAAATCCACAGAGGAGGGAGGGTGCAATATGTGGACCCATGTGGTCGGCCATGTTAAATAAAACAGAAATGTCAGAGCTTATAAGAACTCAGGGCTTCACCGTTGTGTAATAGGATCTAAAAGGGTGGTTCCAAGGATATGAGAAAAGTCACGGCACATGGGTTAATAATGTTTGGGAAGATATTGAAAAAACAAAACAAACAACAACAACAAAATACACTTCTTTGCTCCGTGGATAAATTTAAAAAATAGCTTCTAAAATTCAGCTGAAAAGTTTCTGAAAAAAAAAAAAAGTTATGTGAAAAAACATACCTCACATTTGCACGTTTCTGGTGGAGGGTCTACCAATTGTTTTCTTTGGAATTTTCCCAAATATGGCATTAACTTTCATCATACATATTTTTCATTTCAGATATTCTAAACTCTGAGTGGGCTTGCCTCTCCACAGATTTGACCTGTAACTTGCCCTGCTTGTTTCTGCAGAGATAGTTACATGTAATGCCATTCTGTGGAACATCACCTTGGGGACAAGCAGGCACTTGGCCCCCAACCAGAAGAGTTACAGATTGCACTTTCAAAGATATGAATGTGTTTTTATACTTCACCCTGTTAAATACTGAATGTATGTATGTATAATTTTCTCATACCAAGTTCTCCAGTGTAGCCTTTATGCAAATGACATGGCAGTGATTGATACTTGTGGATGGCCTATTTGACTTGACATTATAATCTCCATGTGCCCACTGAATTGCACAAATAATAGTAGCCATATTTGTATTACTTATGTATGCATCATTAGCAGTGTGTTTATGTCTGTGTAAGTTTGAAACATTTGCATTTGAACACGCAAAACATGGTGACTGCTCTGTGCTGTGTGTATTTGCATGTGTTATTCTGCTCTGGTTCCATGTGTACTAGAGATGTTATGGGATTAATGGATTTGTCTGCCAGAAGCACTTCCTGATGCAAACATATGACATGATATCAAGAGGGACAGTTTCCACTGTACCCTCTTCATTCCTATCCGTTGTTAGGCGTGTTCTATCAAAAATCACAACTGGAATCGATCGATTAAAAGTAAAAAGAATTTATTCCCTGTCCAATGCAATTCTAATACAGAGCTCTGGGTCAGACCACTATCCCTGATGGCCTATTCTACACAGGACTTAGTTTCAGGCAGTCTGAACACCTGCATCTGTCCCTTAACCCAGTATATATACATTCACAGAAATATGCATAATGATATGTTGATCAGGTTCACGCCTTGGATCCTCCCTGAAGCCTCTCCGTTTATGGGAATGTCCGGATCTATTTAGGTTTGGTGCCAGCCAGGATGTCCCCTTGTCAGCTGCTCTGTACAGAATTTCCTTAAAAAGACACAACCTACACAGCAGTTTCTTTAAACACATATATCTGATTTCAATAGTTAAGCATTAATTGTGTGACTTCATTAACAACATTTAAACAAATATATGATTTCAGCATTTAATAATTGCATGTGGTATACTCACGACACTTTATTATTTGTTACAGCCTTCACCGTAATAATTTATATTATATATATATATATATATATATATATATATATATATATATATATATATATATATATATATATATATATATATATATATATATAAATTAAAATAAAAATTAAAAATGTGTTTCTCACCTTCCACGGTGGTAGGTCTCTCTCACCCTCATTCAGCTCGGGTCGTCTACCAGAGGCCTGGGAGTTTGAGAGTTCTGCGCAGTATCTTTGCTGTTCCCAGTACTGCAATTTTCTGGACTGAGATGTCCGTTGTTTTTCCCGGTATCTGTTGTAGCCACTCTTCCAGTTTGGGGGTTACAGCCTCGAGTGCTCCGATCACCACAGGCACCACTGATGCCTTAACTTTCCAGGCTCTCTCCAGCTCTTCCTTGAGCCCCTAGTATTTCTCTAGCTTCTCGTGTTCCTATATATATATATATATATATATATATATATATATATATATATATATATATATATATATATATATATATATATATATATATATACACACACTATACACTTCTCTGTGATTGGTTGAATCCACCTGTCAATTGCTCAGAGTAGGAAAAATTGTTGCTGTATCTCAAATTGGCAGATTGCCAGAATGTATGTAAGTGTTATTAAAATTCAATTTTGATAAAGAAAGGTCTAATTTTGTCATATATTTTGTTCTCCATGTATGATTACTATATGTACTAGTAGTTCTGATACTATAGTAGTTTTAGAAGTGTATTTTTGATAGCCCTACTGGTATTTTCGTAATTCTAACATGTAATTTGATACTATGTCATTCCTATCATAGACTTTTTTTCTTAACCAAATAACTACCTGGTAATATTTGTTCATGCTGTGGTCCCTCTCCAACCCTGAGCACTGCTCTGTGTGTTCCAGCTGAGCCTGTGAGGTGCTGTGTGTCTAATGCTGTTGTCTGCTACATCTTTCTTCTGTAATAGAATCATTCTCATTGTGGCACTTCTCTGCTCTCTCCTCCAGCTGCCTCTGTACACAAGGCACAACAACATGAGACAATGCACACTTTCGACCCAGGAAATGATCAGATGAGATACATTGTGTTTTTCAGAGACTTCAGTGAACAATGGTAAAGAACAGCTTATTCAGCCACTCTCTGATGCATCTAATCAAAGGCTGTGGACAAAGTAACTCAATTGTCAGAACAGCTTTTGTTTTGACTCCTTTTGTCTCAGAGTGCTGAGTTTGGGGTATCGCTTCATAACTTAATTTGGATTTAAATTAGAATTTTTAAGTTGAATATGTCTAACCCACTTTTGAACATTTGATTATTAATTTGTTGTGTTTTGTTGTGTTGTTCCCACAGACACCTGCAGTGCTGCTGAATGGGTGACCACATCACAGCCCTGTGTTTCCTGTGAAGCTTCTGTACAGCCCAGGACAGGCCTCATCTCCTCAGGATGTATCAGGAGGTGGCCTTTCTAGCAGGGAGCACTGAGCACCAATTCACCTCTTTTCACTTCAACCGAGTGGAGAACCCTCAAGAGGTCAGCTCCAAGAAGGGCCTGTTCTACAAGCGAGCACAGCTGCTGCTGCAGCCTCAGCCCCGGCTGGCTGTGGGAGATGAGAGGGCGGCCATCATTAACGTGGGGGGCATAAAGTACCGTATCCCCTGGACCACACTGGAGGAGTTCCCGCTGACACGCCTGGGCAAACTGCGCAGCTGCAGCAGTGAGCAGGAGATCATGGACCTGTGTGATGACTATGATGGCAGCAGACACGAGTACTTCTTTGACAGGAGCCCTTCGGCTTTCAGGACCATCGTCACCTTCCTGTCTGCGGGGAAGCTCCGCCTCCTCAGGGAGATGTGTGCTCTGTCCTTCCAGGAGGAACTGCTGTACTGGGGCGTGGAGGAGGACAACCTGGACTGGTGCTGTTTGCGCAAACTGCACCTGAGACAGGAAGAGTACAAGGAGCAGCAGAGACTGGAGGAGGAGGAGGCGGAGCTCACAGCACCCCCGTCCTGTGAGGATGCACACGTGCCTGGGACAGGCTCAGAGGACAGTAACTCTGCTACCTGCATGAGGAGGCTGAGGGACATGGTGGAGAACCCACACTCAGGAATCCCAGGGAAGATTTTTGCGTGTCTGTCTGTCATATTTGTAGCCATCACTGCAGTGACGCTGTGTGTCAGCACCATGCCCGACCTCAGAGCGGAGGAGGAGCGGGTGAGTGAACTTTCTGTCCCATAAACCAGTCAGTCTAATAGGGAGACTACCCAGTCAAACTGATCAGGGAAATTCAAAGACCAAAATGTATGAATTTTGCAAGTAAGAAAACCTTAACTATAGTTTATCATACAGATTTTTTAATAAAATCCCAAACCCCAGCACACGTGCATCTCTGCTCAACAGATTTGTGGAGCTGCAGAACAAGGCTCACACACATATGATGAAACAGTGCGACGGGGGAAGCCTGCATAAGGACTCCACTTTTAGTGCTTTAGGGAAGAGCGTGCTTTACGGCTGCCTCAGACTGAATTAAGATTATGTTGATGCTGCAGCCCACATATGCTGTGTTTTAAATCAATGTGACACACATAGAGGAATTCCACTCGAGTTCACATGCAGTAGCCTACACAAAAATATATCTTATATTTTATGCTTCTTTTACTTATATTCAACATCAACAATTTCAAAATATAAATTATTCATAAAGTATTTTGGCAGATGTGTTCCAAATCTGTATTAATATTCATTTAGCTAAAAATAATGAAAATAAATAAAAAAGATGATTGTTATGCAATGTGTTGGGTTATACAAATTGTGGCCATGAAGACAATTAGTGGGTTTACACAGCTCTTATTGAGCTGAAGAGTAAACAAAGGCCGCTTAAAAATGGAACATTCTTTGAAATGTTGTTTTTAATGGATTTAGCAGCTATAGTATCTAGGACACATGTGCGAATGGAGGTATAGCAGCACACTTACGCACAATGAGCCTTTCAAATTGAAGATAGCTTAAAGTAAATAATAATCTTAAAGTGGGCATACAATATACAATTTTGTACAATTTTAAAACTCGGATGGACACTTACAACAGATCTACTGTTTGAGTGTCATGATCTACAGGCAGAGGTGGGTAATAACATTTATTCAGTAAAGTTTAAGTCTTAAAAAAAAAGTACATTTCAGAGTACTTTTCTTGCAGCATACTTTTACTCCTACTTAAGTAGTATTTTTACTGAAGTAATAGTACTTTTACTAAGTCTAAGTGAGCATTACTATGACATTTAACATTTTAACATTTGTGTTTCTTGCACAGCTCTTTCAGATATGAATTATTTTTTCTCATTTTTGCGTCCAACCTTTGAAAATACCAGATTTAGTTTAGTTTTTTTTCCCTTCAAATTGCATGTTACACCACAGCGTTTACTCTTTAAGTTACTCTTACTTGAGTCGTACTTTTCCCAAATACTTTTTTTACTCTTAGTTTACCACTACTTTCTACTTCTACTCGAGGAAGGCAGGACTTATCTATCTCAGAGCAGTATCATTTCTAGCTTCTCATACTAGTAAAATCAGATTGACAATGACGTCTGTATTGCAGCTGAAACGTCTCAACTTCAAAAACATTGTCCAGATGATTGCATTTAAAACCTTTTCTACCTGGAACCACTCTTGGACAAATAAGAGAAGACACAAATAGCTTCATTATATCATCCTGGTATATTCTGCAAATGCATAGTAGAGACTCATCCTGCAAAAACAGTAAACAAAACCTGTGTATGTTTTCAGTGAATACAGTCCAAAACAGGCGCACCAACTTCACATGATTTCTTCAGTCTACAACATGCTTTTATATTCAGATGTTAAATAAAACCAACACAACTGTGAAAATAATAATGTACAGTATTACAGCTTTGATGTTGAGGGAGTGTAAAGATATGACCTCAGGGTTGTGTTGTAGCCCCTTACATGTTGAGTGGTGCGGAGGAACATAAGAGTCTGTTTCTTGTGTGTTTGCTCCAGGCTGAGAGGATGCCCTGCCCTGTTTGAGTGACATAAGGGTGATTAAAGCAGGAGGAGGAGGAGGAGGAGGAGGGGGAGTCTAATGTGCCATAACCAATTAGGAATACACAGTTGATCAGAGGGTTACAGCCAAGTGGAGTTGATTCTGTCTAAAACGAAAACAAAAATTACATAGCTAACCTAAAGTGGCTGTTCCCTGTTTTTTTCTATGTAATTGAGCCACATTTTTCAATTTGTCCCAGTACTGATATATATTGTTTAAGCAGCTCTTATGCAATTATGAGACTGTCTGGACTAATACAGTACTGGTATTGGATATGGGCGTCAATATTTAACACTTTTAACACAAGATATCAGTTCAGTCAATATCCCATTTTGGTCCATAAATTGGTGTAATAAGATAATTTACTGTAGCCAGGCTGGCGCCACCTAGTGCCTCCACTCAGTTTCATTTCTCTCCAGCTACTATGTCAGGAATCGGAATGTACTAGACTGTTGTAGACTGTGCACCAGCCAACTCAAGCGCCTGTCTGGGTCCCTTTTGTGGTACAGCACAACAGTAAACAAAGCGGTCGAGATGGATGTAGATGAAGCCGTACATTCTGTGTTGGCAACAATTCCTGAGATCGAGGATTTAAAGCCAGAACAAAGAGAATGTTTGGTGAATTTTATCAAGGGGAAAGACGTTATTGCCCTTCTTCCTAGGGGATTTGGCACATTACATACCTCACGACCAAATAGCAGCGATTGGTTAAATAAAAAAGTACCCACCGTTGAGCGAACGAATCCTAATGCTGAAGTGAAACCAGCTGATTAATCAGGCTAGATTTACTGGCCATGTTACCCCAAAACATCTCACAATATTAAACTTGTATTTTTACAAAGCTGTTCAGTAGTAAAACAAATCTGGATTTTTTTTTTTTTACTTGCTGCTACGCTGTGTGTGTTTAAAGAAAATTAATTATATTTTCAGTCCCTGCCCTAGTATCTGTTAGTATCGGTTATCAGCAGATACTTAAAGCCAAACTTTGGCTGCCAAAGTATCAAAATCAGTATAGAAACAAACAAACAAAAAAAAAACTGACTCGGTGCATCCCTAATGTTGTCTCCATCCAATTATAAAGCGTTTATCCTCCAAGAACCAGGATGTGTCCTGTTAGCATGCTAGTTACTGCTGGTATTACAAAGTTGAGAAAAGCACTTAATAACTTATCACAGTGAATAATTAGAATGCTGAGAATGCATTAAGTGGTTAACTTTGGACTGCTGCAAACCATTTAAAATCAAATAGTAGGGCTTTTCACATTTTAAAGACAGTAAAAATCTGATTCAGTGCCTTTAACCAGAGACAGTTAACAGTTTTTGTAGATATACTAGTCAGATGGTAATTGTAATTTTTATTTACAGAATGTACAGAATAGTAGTGCTGCTGTGTGACTAAACCAGTGTGAAAAACATCCACCCTCATCTCCAACTCAAATAGAATAATTATGGACCCAATTAACCCCCCTGAGGTGTCCGGAAAACGCAGCGCCGCTTCCTGACCAGTAGGATGGAGAAATTCATTTGGACCAGCAGTAGGAAGTCACTCCAAAAAGTCTCTTCTTTATGGCTATAATGAGGCAGGCGTTTGCACACACAGCAACAACACTGGAGGGAGTTGTTAAGCAGTCTGACACTTTTCTATATTATCCTAACGGTCGTGGCCACATGGGAGTTTGCTGACAGTTTATTTTGTATATTATGTTCTTGTACCATGAAAAACTGTAAACTGGAAAATGTCAGAAATTAGAAAAATAATTGCGTAAAGGTTTGTCTTTCTGCTTTGACCAATATTTGCTATAAAAAAAATGAAAATATGTAGTGAGGCTCACAATTTATTTTGTTCACAAATAAACTTTTCACTTATAGACCAAAAAAATGAACATAAAAATTTGAGTCTAGAGAAAATATTGGTCAGTACATATGTTCTGCACCAGCATTGCCCATCCCAAAATAAGTTGAAACATTCACATTGAACTTTTGAACTCTTGTTTGAAAAATGTATTGACCCAGAGGCCCGCCCAAGGTTCTGTCTCTAAAGAAATCCTTGGTACTGTTGCCCTGAGCACGCTTTTGGGTTTGTTTTTGATTCTTAAGGCAAGGCAAAACAAGTTTATTTGTAGACAATTTGTACACAAAATAATTGCTGTACAGGATAAAAAATATGTTAAAACATACAAACATAATGATCAGAAAATGTACTTAAGAAAAAAGTGTAGAATTAAAACAATTTTTTTTTTTTTTTTTTTTTTTTGTAAAACTCAAAATCACAGCAGTAGTTGCCTCTTAGGGCTCAACAAGATCATTTATTTAACCAAAAGAAAGTAGAAAATCCAACAATGCAACAGACATTGGACAATGACAGACAGGTAGAATAAGACACTTTCAGTCATATGTACACTTAAACAAACCTGTTTTAGCCTTATTAAACATCTTCAGGAAGACTGTTCCAGATTTTAACTGTATGAAACTGAAATGACTGTGGGCACCAGCAGGAAACAGGTCCCTGAGGTCTTCACAGTGTGAGATGGTTCATATGGCACTAACATGTCACAGATGTATTTTGGTGTTAGGCCATGGAGAGACTTTAAAAAAAGCAGTGAGAGTAGTGATACATTGGTGCAATTCGGTTGCCTGACCAGGCAGGCCTTTCTCAATTCTGTATGAATCCAGGGGCTGGAACTGGACTGGGACTAGAACCAAACCACAGAGCAGCCTTCAGTTGGTCCAACCACAGCTGTTAATTTGTAGCATGTGAAACTTCTTTTACCTGAAACAAGTAATAGTTTGGTGCATCTCAGTCCTTTGTTTAGATTTTTCTCCTATTTTATGTATAAGCAGCCTTGTTTATATTTGATGTGAATGGAGCATGTGTCTCTCTGATTGGTTAAGCCGCCTGTCAATCATTCCCTGTTGAAATCAGGGTCTGGCTCCAGATCCACTTGCCTCTGTAAAGTTTCTCAAAGCGTCTAATTCTAGCTTAGCCAGCCTGGCGCCACCTAGTGCCTCCACTCAATTTCATTTCTCTCCAGGGACTAGGTCAGGAATCGGAATACACTAGATAGTTTCCAAGAACCCCGGAAGTTGTAGGCTGCGCACCGGCCAATCAGCAAAGAGCTGTGAAGCCATGATGGGTCCCTTTTGTGGTACAGTACA